AAGGAAATTTACTGTTTTTCAGGTTACATATTTTTTACTGTAGCCTTTTTACATTTTTTTTATTACTATAGAAATCACTGCCATTTTTTACAGTGTGTGTACAAACCCTGCTGTCTTCACTGGGCCTTGATTGGACAGTGTTTATGAAGGCAGCTGAGTATGATAAGCAGTGTTGTCTCAGGCCCAAAAGCACACTAGAGTGCCTTGAATCACTAATACCCTCTCAAGCCACACACATGTGGCGTCTGCCTCCCTTGATAACCTGCAGCCCTCTCCAAGGTCTGACCGCTGCACCTGTCGAAGTGGGTTATGCCAAGCTCGGCTCTGCCACCTGCCCCTTGCTCAGACTCACTGGAGTCTTCATGCCATCTTTGACCTCTGCCCTGCGCTGCCTGCTGTCTGGCCGCCAGTCTCCAAATGGCATGCATTGTGTCCTGTAGAGGCTTTCTGGACATGTTGTAAAATGCTTCTCTTGTGGCACTACCGTGTAATGTAATGATTGAGTGCTGGCTAATCTAAATGTTTGTTTGGTTGTTTGCTAACCCCACTAAAATGACAATGAAACCATTTGCTGTGTTATAGAAAGAAATGTGTTGAGTTAAACTATAAAATAAAGATGAAGACTGATGAAGAAATAAAGTAGGAAACAAAGGGAGCTTGTTAAAACCATTGCAAACTTTATCAAATTTCAAATTCTCAATTTTTTTATCTGTAGTTTTCCAATGCTAACTTAACTAGTTCATAGACAGCTTAACTGATTGATGATCATTCATTCATTCATTCATTTTCTTTTCGGCTTAATCCCTTTATTAAGGGGTGGCCACAACAAAATTAACTTATCCAGCATATGTTTTACGCAGCGAATGACCTTCCAGCTGCAACACATTACTGGGAAACATCACATTACTGGTAAACGCGTACACTACAGCCAATTTAGCCTCCCAATTCACCTATACTGCATGCTTTTGGACTTGTTTGGGAAATAGGGTTGTAACAATATACCGGTATGACGGTTTACCACGATTTGAACGTGCACGATTATCATACCATGAACAATTGCATATCAACGGTTTTAACCCTTAAAGACCGAGACAGCCGCCCGCGGCTAAAAATAAGTATTGCTCTTAAATGTTTAATAACTTTTGATCCGCTGATCCCATTCATACAATTCAAAGATTGGCATAAAGAAGAGAATCTCAGCTTTCCAGTGCTGTATCACATAATTGATTTGATGAATTTGATGAATGATTTGACAAAGAAACGCTCGTCACTGTGTCTCCGGACAAACCAGACATGATACATTGATGCATTGTCCCTCCTCCATGCCCAGATTGGTTCAAACTCGCTATATCACAACCAATAAGCATAGGTTTCACTTTTGTTTGTGGACCAACACTGAGGTTTTTGAACAGCACGGAATGAGAGATTTCATTTCTGCGCGGCTAAATAAAACGCAAAAAAAAAAAAAAGTTTTGCATGAAATAATTCTCATACTAAGTACTTTTGCATGCACAGCAGCACAGAAACATGACAAAACAGTGACACAGCAAAGACGAACTGCTGCTCTTGCTGTTTTCAAAAGACACAAATGAAGGTGCAGCTGTTTGTCTGCATTGCATACAACCACATCCAAATCCATATCCACAGACAACCATATCATGCTGGCACATAAAACCTAAGGATGTTCCATATTGAATCTGAATTCGTTATGTAACTATTTATAGTATAGTAAATATTTATATCTATTTTTTACTGAGGATTTGCACCATGTTTATTTGGACTTTGACACATTATTTATTATTTTCTTATTTTTTTATTTGTTCATTGTACAAGTGGACACATTCTCTCACCTCAGCGGTCAAGATTAAGTCCTGAAAATCTCAACATGCTTACATTTCTTCATCACAACCTAGACTGAAAAAAACAACGCTTTAAATACATGTTTACAGCCATAAACTTGGTATTGCACTTTTGGTCTCCCATTTATCCTGCTTATAAGGAAGGACAGTTTAAGTTTATTTTTGTCTAATCTTAAAAGACCCTGCTTGTTTATTCCTTCTAATTTAATTTATTAAAATGGGAGTTTTTTCAGTTTATTTTTATAAAAGACTTCTATAGTTCTATTAAAATGGTTCTTTCAAAAGTTTGTTGAAATAAAACCTTTGTTCAGTCAGAAAACGTGTTCTTATTCTTTTCAGGGTCTTTGCTATGAGAATTACTATTTAATACCGTATACCGCGAAACCGTCAAACCGTGGTATTGTTTTAGACGATTATCATACCGTAAAATATTCATACCGTTACAACCCTATTGGGAAACCAGAGCACCTGAAGGAAACCCACGTGAACATGGGGAGAACATGCAAACTCTTCACACAGAAATGGCAACTGACCCAGCCGAAGCTCGAACCAGCGACCTTCTTGCTGTGAAGCAATCGTGCTACCCACTGCACCACAGTGACACCCTGATAAATAACCAATGCAATCCAATTTGACTTCCCATAAATGTCTAGTGTCAGAGGAATATTCCTGCAGTGTGTACTTATCACAACCATTAAATTAATTACCAATATGATTATAGAATCTGATTGCACAGTTATTGGGCTCTATTTTAACGATCTAGGCGCAAAGTCTAAAGTGCAGGCAAAAGCATTAAGGGCATGTCCGAATCCACTTTTTGCTATTTCAAGGATGGAAAAATACAATCTGTGCCATGGTGCATGGTCTAACAGGGTTGTGCTTATTCTCTTAATGATTTATGGGTGTGTTTTGTGCATAACGTGCATTAAACCAATCAGTGTCACATCTCCCATTCCCTTTAAGAGTCAGTTGTGTCACAACACGGTGCATTTGCTATTTACATGGATGAATTTGTAAGTGGAAAAACTGAACGCTTCACTAGCAAGTTGAACAGACCATCTGCAGCGAGGATAAAAATGAGCCTCCTCCATTCGGCCTCTTTACTTTCTCTTTACCTTTACTCTTTACTTTACTCCTTTACTTTTGTAGAAAAGGAAACAGTGTTGTACGCACTCCACTGAAGACATCCATCAGCCTACATATTTAATTCCGTTTGTTAAGCGCAAAGATTTGTTTCAGAACTATTTCTAAATTCAATTCTGATTTCAAGCAACTGAATAAATGAACAATAATGATGAAGTGTGGTCAAAAAACTGAGTTATATCCAAACACACATCCTATGCCTCATATGGCTATGCAAACGTCTCCCAAACCCAACAGGTGGACAAATCTAGACTTGTTTTTATTTAAAAAAAAAAAAAAAGTTTTTAGCTGGTTAACTGTACAGTCTATTTTAGCTCCTCAAAATAGCAACACACCAACAATGCGCTTTAACACACCTCCTTTCTAGACTGGAACACCCATGAGTCCACAAAGTGGCACAATTGGATTGACTATTTATACAACGTGGCACAAATTAGTAAAATTACGGTTGCATTGGGCTGATAATTGGGCCTATTAGAGCAACAAACCAACATTTGCTCTACATGTCATGTTAATGTTTTCCTTTTCTTTTTGTTTTTCATTTCAAAACAAGCTATGCTAACTATTAACTCAACAGGTGTTACTTTGTCTTACTTTGATTGGGGCTTACAGTTGCCGAATGTTATGTGTTGTAGATGCAAACACAGGGTATGAGTCTTCTTCCGTGTGTTCATATAGTGTAGCAACTATTATTATGCATCAAATTAGGATTTTTTTTTTTTCAAAACAAAAAATGTAAATAAAAATTCTTACACATACCTTAGGAACAGTATAGTAGAAAATTTAGGCGGTTTTAAAATCTTGACTTTTCCAAGCTGAGGTATACCTTGAAAGCGTTTATCGTCCTGTAGGGGTAGTTTACAGATTGACCCAAAGACTGACCAGTCTGGTAGATGAAGAAGAGCCGGAGTCAGAGATTTAAATAAATAAATCAAGTTTACTGAAGATAGTTTGCAGTTTTATCCGCAGAAGCCAGCTTCAAAACTCGCAATGAGTTCCTAGGCCGCTCTGCTTACATTCACCAATCAATAACAATTATACTCTCACATAATGTCATTAACTGCGTCATACATACAGGTGTCCTAACCTGATTGGTTAAAACACAGATAGACTAGGAACATTTCCACGTGGGGTTTGTGCGTATATTCTGAACAATATCTTAAGCATAAACGTCAGACATCCCTTAGACTGATTAGAGCTGACTCCAGACCTGTGAAACGGATCAACAATCAAATAGAACACACACACTTAAAGTATAATCTGTTTCTTATCCAAGGCTGAGTGTACTGTCAGCCGTCTTTATCGAAACTGGTTAAAACTGGTATAATCTACATTCAGGCAGTTATATTCTTACTACACAAAGTCTATCTTGAATAAAAAGTAGAATCACTTTAAAAGATTTAACCGTAAAAAATAGCAAAATCACTTTAGAGATTTTAGACAGTATTAACTCATAGAAATAACAATAGAAACAGTTGTTTCCAATCCTCAGCCCTCAGTTTCACTCAAGGTCTCCATGACCTCTGACCTAGTTTGCTGGCTCCTGAAAATAGGTATAAAGAGATAGGCAAATGCACTGAACATTCTTATATTAACCAATGTGTTAACTAATTCATTAATTAAAATCAATTCACAGTTAAATACTGAGAAACAGGATGATGAAAAGGATAAACGTTGGTCCATGATGAGATGGACTGGAAAGCAGAAATCCGAATCCTTCAATCCCATGCCTTTTTGTGTAATAGGTGCTATAGGTGCTTGATGTATTTCCCAGAATGTTAACTTATCTTACTAAGTAAACCTGATTCTTGTCCCAACAACTAAGCCAGCAAACAAATCAGGTACAAACAGTACAGCGGTGTGCAGCTTAACAATCTGCTAAAGCTATAGTCATATAGGTGGGTTTTGCATGTGTTGTGAGTGCAGCTTTTGGTTTTGGGCTTGTGATTGTGACTGCTTATGCATTGAAAAGATGAGTAACTGTTGCTGAATTTGCAGGGTGAGCTAGGGATGCCTGGAATGCCTGGGAAACAAGGAGTGAAGGTAGTTCACTTCTACTACAGCCTTCATCCAAATCCATGATCCACAGCTTTTTATAATAATAAAAAAGCAATCCTTTTTTCCCAGTATCTTGCATGCTGTCGCAGAAGCATTCCACTGCTAAAAGTCTTCTTTGAAAGCTCAATCTTATCTGTTATGATCCTATGTTCAACTGCTCTCACACTAGAGGCCGATTAATTGGAGATTATACAGGCACGTCACATACAACCGTCTCACCTTCTTACACTGTAAAGTGGCCTCTGAGATTTGAGGAATGAGATGGCAGGAGATAGACGGATGGTGCCACTAGCGGTCTGTCTCCCCTGCCACCCTCGACCTTCGATGGGTCGAGTGTCCGCATGCGACCGCAGCTGTGTCTTTAGATCACTGCCTTCATGCCTGCTCATTAGTCTGAGATAACAGACACAAATTAAATAACTGTCATGTGCTCTTTACTATTAATAACAAACCAATAGAGTGCTGGCTTATTGCGGCACTTCTAGTGATCAGCTACTTGCGTGCCTGGAGAGCACAAACTTCAACATACCAATCTAAATATTGAGACCGGCGCACACTGTTTAATCGCTTCAATAGAAATTATGTCATCTGTGAGACCCTTAGGGGTTTATGATAGTTGTAAACAGTGTTTGTCTAAATAATTATTTTCATTTGAAATTACTCCTGGCATTTGTTGATGTTCTGAGGTCAGCATGTTTAAGTCTTTTCTCACTGTTTTGTTTTTCTCTCTCTCTTTGTGTGTGTGTTGTTTGTTCTCATGTTGACATTGTGAACCCTTCAGGGAGAGCCTGGTTTCCCAGGTATCCCTGGGCGAAAGGTAAAGGCCTGGTTTGATGTGCTAGTGATTAGGGCTGGGCGATTAATCGAAAAAGTAATCGAAATCGACATTTAGAACCTATAATCGATCAAATTTTTTCCGGTCAATTATTTCAACTACTTTCCTTACACAATCAGAATTAAAGGTGCATATTTGTACCTGAAGGGTCCATAATCGCACTTCAAAGGTACTTTTTAGGTACATTTGGGCACTGATATGCACCTTTAAGATACCACTGTGGATTCTTTGCGAACAATTATGTAACTTTTGAAAAAGTACCGCCCCAGTGTCAGCTCCTGTACCTTTATTTCTGAGAGTGTACCGTTTGTGGAGTCACATAACCCCACTCTGTTAAGGCTGATTTATACTACGTCGAATGCACAGGTATGGTCTGGCAAAGCCCTCGCACGGTCGCAAACCCATGCACCTGTTAAAAAATGTTACTATACATCGCACATTTGCACTATATTGACGATGATTGAAAGCTGTGCCGGAGATGCCTTGTGGCGGCATATTGTCTAATACAATAAAATTATTATTAACATGAAAATATTTGGGGCGGCACAGTGGCGCAGTAGGTAGTGCTGTCGCCTCACAGCAAGAAGGTCGCTGGTTTAAGCCTCGGCTGGGTCAGTTGGCATTTCTGTGTGGAGTTTGCATGTTCTCCCTGTGTTCGTGTGGGTTTCTTCCGAGTGCTCCGGTTTCCCCCACAGTCCAAAGACATGTGGTACAGTTCAATTGGATAGGCTAAATTGTTTATAGTGTATATGTGTGAATGAGAGTGTATGGATGTTTCCCAGAGATGGGTTGCAGCTGGAAAGGCATCCGCTGTATAAAACAGATGCTGGATAAGTATGTGGTTCATTCCGCTGTGGCGACCTTGGATTAATAAAGGGACTAAGCTGAAAATGAATTAATGAATGAATGAAAATATTTGTTTACAGAAGAGGCAAGAAATGCACTGTTTAAAATATTATTTACAGCAGGGGTGCTCAACCCTGTTCCTGGAGATCTACCTTCCTACAAAATTCAGCTCCAACCTTGAGCAAACGCACCTGAACTAATTAATTAGGACCTGAACAGCACTTGATAATTACAGGCAGGTGTGTGATAAGGGTTGCAACTGAAATCTGCAGGAAGGTAAATCCCCAGGAACAGGGTTGAGCACCCCTGATTTACAGCATATTTTATTTAGAAGAGACAACGCTTATTTTCTACTTTTGAAAACAATGAAAATAATTAATTTGGTTTTCAAAAGTGCAAGTTTTATTTGCAAGTATTATTTTGCAAACAAATATTTTTCACTTTTTTTCTAAGAAAAATTGACTGTTTTAGTCAATGTGTGTTTTAATTAGTTACAAACGTTGAACAAGAATAGTTGTTCAACGTTGATGTTGAATTAATAATCCTAGATAGTATATAGTGTGTTTCCTTCAATTATTCTAAAATCAATAATGCACCCTTCATTTAAATATCTCTCAATTGTAGTATGTGAGCCTATTTACTATACAAAACCTGTCAGTGAACTATAAGGGAAGAAAAATAAAATACAGAAATAAACGAATCGTTCATTAATCATAATCCTGATCAAATTTTCAATTAATCAAGATTTTGATTGTAGCTCAAATCGCCCAGCTCTACTTGTGATTTCAGCACATTTGTGTAGCTCTTAAAATAATGGAGTTTTCTTTCTCTGTGAAGGGTCAGACAGGTCTTTCTGGTATCCCTGGAAAACGGGGCTACAAGGTACACCCGAGTGTGTGCCATACCTATTAGATAACAATTTGTGATCATGAGCATTGAGTTTTAATTGCACTTTTTCTCCCAAAACCTATTTTTGGCCATTCTTTTAATTATTTGCCATGCTTGAAATTATAAAATACAGCCATGTAAAAGAGGCCATACAACTCAGATACCTTATTGCAAGTTTTTTTTATTACAATTTTTTAGTGCTGTGCGATTAATCAAATCGCAAACGCGATTTTAAAAAAATGAGGAATTACAACAACCAGCACCTAAAAAAGCCTGCTATAGACTGCTATATAAGAAGTGTCTTGCTAAAAGCTTGTTGAAAGTATTGCCAGTGACACTCAATTTAGTAGCAAACAGCTATGTCAGAGTTGTTTCAGCCATGTTAGTTTGCTGAGTGTTCTGTATTTTTATAATTATTATATTTTTTGTTATATATATATATATATATATATATATATATATATATATATATATATATATTATATTATATTATATTATATTATATTATATTATATTATATTTAACTCCCTAATTTGAGTTCAACATGTAAGGAAGGTGGTTTCCTTTGTGCTTACTAATTGCTTTAGTGAAAAAATTGTGTATAATTTCTGGATATTTAAAAATAAATTTGAATAAGTGTTTACCTTAAGTAAATTAATATTTTTTCAGTTCCTTTTTTAACTGACACTCATTGCATTTTAGCAGTAAGAAGTTACGGTACAGAATATTAAGCTGAAACTTGATTACAAAATTAAATCGCAAATCAAATCGAAATCGCAATATCTGGCAAAAAAAAAATCACAATTAGATATTTTCCCCAAATTATTACAGCCCTATTATTTATGCACAATAACAACCTGAATACATTTCACTGAAAGAGTGGCCAATATATTATTAAAATCATCTTTAGTATTTCAGAGTAAAACTACAATTAAAGGCATGCAGGTTTGTCATGAAATAGCAGTATTTTCATTGTAGTTGAATTGAATTAATATACTTTAAGTACACATGCATGTCTGACAGATATCTTTGAAATGGTGATGTGATGTCTGCAGATTGTGTTACACCTGGAGTTATTGTTATTTGCGTGTGCGTGTCATAATGCATTTTGTGTTTGAATTCAATAATAGCATGTATTTAGTCTTTTTGGACTAAAGGATGACATTCTTAAGTTGCAGTAAAGCAAAACTTTGTATTCCTTTTTGTTTTCATTTATGCTGCATGGTTTGTGATGTCACAGGAAATATACAGGGGTATGTTTTAAAGTATTAATGTGTTAATAGTTATGATTAAATCAATGTTCGTTTGAAGCAGAAGCCTTAGAATGTTAAATGTGGTCTGTATTTGCTTTGTGATCTGATGTAGTTTCATTTAGAGTGGCTCACGCTCTGGGATTAAGTACTGATTCTGTTATGAATTAAAGGCATTAACTGCAATGCTATGAAATAAAATAAAAACAATATGGTCACAGAAGAAAATAGACCTGCATGAATCATTAAATCAATCAATTCAACCTTAACTTCTACTTTTTTTTGTTTATTGCTAGGGAGAGAAAGGTGAGCCTAGTGCTGCAGGAACTGGCATTAAAGGAGAACCAGGTGTCGCAGGACAGCCAGGTCAAGCTGGACCCAAGGTACATTGCCCACATTCTCCGCCAACTGGATCTAATGCTGGTTTAACCCCACATAAACAGCACTGCTTTACTTACTCATGTATACTTGTGGACTGTTTTTCACCAGATACAAATTTTTAGCTTAGCTTCAAGTATTTAAACTTGAAATGTGATTAAGACAAATTCCATGCTTTTGGTGTAAGCGTGTTGGTCATTCCACCTCATTCATGTCATGTGGCAGTATTTTGCCTCTATTTGCATGTTTGCAAATATATATATATATATAATAACAATAATATACAATAATATAATATATATATATATATATATATATATATATATATATATATATATATATATATATATATATATATATATATATATATATATATATTACCAATACCATTAGGAATATTAGGATTTCATATTTAACCACTTTATTTTATTTAAATTACCAACATTACAAATAGCTTTAATAGTCAAAAACAAAAATATTTAAACAAAATATCTAATTTTTATAATAAAATGAACAAATGTTAGAGAGGCTCTTAAACTTGATTAATAAAATGTTACAAAATGTGCGCCATGGTAAAGGTAGATCAACATCTGTAAGGTGTCAATAATAATGATACAGTTAACCTAAAACTCTGATAACAAAACAAATTATGATAATCAAATCTGAGCTTTCATGTAAAGTAACTAACCATTATTATTCAAATACATACTGCAACATTACAAATTGTGAAGTTGGATGACTACATTAGACCTATGCTAAAAAAATCTTTCAAATGAGGAGCTAATGGCTGGGATGCACAGTAAAAGAAACCAAAAAGCCAATCTGGCGACATCCTTTTTCATTTACAATCTCCTCACTGCTGCTATACTGCACTCATTTTCACGCAAGTTGTTATTCTGACCTGAAGTGACAAGCACAAGCTTGTGCTTTGTGTTGTCTGAGGTGATTAGTCTGCCGTTATTACTGAAATGTGTATATTCCATACAAAGTGTGAAGCAGATTGGTTAGTTCAGATGTTTTTCAACTAGGGGTACCTGGAAAATGCACGCGCATTACGTGCCTCCATTGGAAATGACTAACTGACACCCTAAGCTTGTTGGCATTGCTTCCAAGGTGCGCACTCAGTAGCTACGTTTTAATATAACTATTGCGATTCATACTTCATACCGAACCGTTTTTATTAGCGATATTGACAATGGTGTCAATAAATACCAATATCGATTTTATCACCCAGTTCTACTTTGTATGTACTATTTACTCACGTGAATACTCAATTTCTGTATTTGTTGTGAACCCAGCATAAGTACTTTCATGTCTACTGTACATCTGACGTTCTTTCTTGATATACTGCAGCATGCCAAGTCTAACAAAATATATACCGTTATACTGTAAATATGCTTTAGAAGTGAAATTCAGTTTTGTTATTTCTTTTTAGGGTGAGAAAGGTGATCAAGGCATAAAGGTGAGCCATTGACTTTTTAATGCTAGAATGTTTTACTTCAACACTGTATTTTAGGGTGTATTTACACTTTGGTGTCTTGATAATTTGATCTTGATAAAAACAGTAAATTCCTACATTTATTTGTAATATGCAAAACATACGCTATCAAAACAAATGTTAAGATATTAAAATTGATTGATCATAAGTTCATTTGACCCAATACACTGACAAAAGTCTTGTCATCGATCCTAGTTGTAAGAGCAACAAATAATAATTTGACTTCTAGTTGATCATTTGGAAAAGTGGCAGAAGGTAGATTTTTCAGATGAATCATCTGTTGAACTGCATCCCAATCATCACAAATACTGCAGAAGACCTTTTGGAACCACCATAGACCTATAAAATCATGGTTTGGGGTTACATTCAGTATAGAGGCATGCAAGAGATCTGCAGTGTATGACAGCATCAACAGCCTGAGGTGTCAAGACATTTGTGCTGCCCATTACATTACAAACCACAGGAGAGGGCAAATTCTTCAGCAAGATAGCGCTCATTATCATACTTCAGCCTCCACCTCAAAGTTCCTGAAAGCAAAGAAGGTCAGGGTGCTTCAGGATTTGCTAGCCTAGTCACCGGACATTAACATTATTGTGCATGTCTGGGGTAAAATGAAGGAGGAGGCATTGAAGAGGAATCCAAATAATCTTGATGAACTCTGGGAGTCCTGCATGAACGCTTTATTTGCCATTCCAGATGACTTTATTAATAAGGGATTTGAGTCATTGCAGAGATGTATGGATGCAAATGAATAAATTTCCGATTAAAGCACGGGAGCGGTTGGTAATTAGTGTAATTTTGGACGGGAGCGGGCGGTCTAACAATATCACTCCCGACTCCCGCACGGCGGGTAGAAAACGGGGCGGGTCGGACAGCGGGACAGCGAATACTGTATTTAAGCGGGAGCAGTCGGGTTCTGGCTAAAACCTGGCGGGAGCGGGATACATTTTAAAATAAATGCTCTTTAGGTCATGTGTTTACCTCACTATTGTGTCATGTTTTGCCTTTGATTCATTGTTGAAAACACACATTGTAGGGTTGTATGTTGTTCGGTATGTGTTGCATTTATATTTCAGTCAGGTATCGACCAAGACCCTTTTTTTTTAGACCCCTTAATTTGGACGGTATTTTTAATCCATACAAAGGGCCATTCAAAAATCACATCTGGAACCATGTCGAAAATGCAAGGCATTCAGCTTCCTTCACTGATTTCAATGTGAAATTAACATCAGCAGTGCTCTTTAAGAAAGCACCACTGATAAACCCTTCCTGCAGCTCTGATACAGTTTTAGGTTAAAACAAGTTTTATTAATGGAAAATATTATAAACTGCCAGTGTTTGGGTGCTCTGCATTTGTCTGAGGTAATTAGTCTAATGTTATTGATGAAATGTGTATCATTCAAATAAAGTGTGAAGCTGATTGGTTGGTTCTTGTCAAATGCCACATGTCTGGACAGAAACACCAGAATTTGTTTTAAATCAAACCAAGGATGGGTGTGAATATTTAGCATGCTTTTGGGGGAAAATATCAATATTTTATATTGTCTGCTTTGCAGGGTGACCCTGGCCTGGAAGGTCCAAGGGTGAGTAGTGTGTGCAAACTATAAAATCAGCAAAACTAGTTTGCTACTGATTGAGAAAATGATATCACAAGTTTATCTATTGGACATTAATCGTATATCCTAATTGATTGTATCTCCATCACTGAACAGGGTCCTCCAGGGCCAACTGGGGAGCCAGGAAAAACTTTAGTCAACAACAACGAAAATGTATGTCCTTTTCATGTATAGGAATGAATCATCTTTTTATTTAATGTGAAAATTGTTGTCATTTTTAAATTTTGTTGTGTTTTAGGATATTCGTAATGTGCATTCAATGGTAAGTGTCATCCTGAAAGCATGAGTCTTGATTGCATTTATTGCATGGGGAGAATAATGCATATTTGAATACAAAAATTGTTTGACTACATAAACAGATAAACAGTGAACAGCTCTATCAGTGTATATTGAAGCATATATTCATGTTATACTAGGGTGCTCCTGGTCTGCCTGGACCTCCTGGGCCTCCTGGTCTTCCTGGGACCCCTGGTTTAAAGGTGAAAAATACATTTTCTTTCCTTTATGTCAGAGATTTCCAAACTCGGTCCTGGAGGGCCGGTGTCCTGCTAAGTTTAGCTCCAACTTGCTTTAACAAACTTGCCAGAAAGTTTCTAGTATATCTAGCAAGAGCTCGATTAGCTTGTTCAGGTGTGTTGGATTAAGGTTGGTGCTAAACTCTCCAGGGCGCCGGCCCTCCAGGACTGAGTTTGTACACCACTGCTTTATGTACTGTTAAAATAGCTAGTCACCTCACAGCAAAAAGATTGCTGGTTGGATTCCTGACTGAGTCCAGTGGCATTTCTGTGTGGAGTTGGTATGTTCGCCCCTTGATCACGTGGGTTTCTTCCTGGTGCTCCCCACAGTGCAATACATCTGTTATAAGTAAATTTGATGATCTGAATTAGCTGTAGTGTATGGCCCTGTTTGCACTGCCAGTTAAATGTGACCTAACTCAGATTTTTTGCTCATACATGACACAGATCAGATCTTTACTACGACCATGTAAACACGAAAAAAGCAGATGCTCTCAGATATTCCAAGATCGGTTTCAGGCCTCCTTAGTATGTGGAAATAAATCAGATATAATTGGATATGTGACAATGTGACTATAATGTAAACAGGCAGATCGGATTTACTGAGGCGATTCGTTTTGTACGCCATTAAACTTGCGACAATGTGGTGCTTCTCTGCATTTTAATGACGTAGAAGGAAGAGAGTGTGTGGAGACAACAAGACGGTAAACAACAACAACAACAGGAAACATGGAGGAGGAAAGTGGTCAGTCGCCACAATTTGCTCCCACCAGACCTGAGATCTCTCTCGTACCTACAAATTCCTCTAAATGGTGGAGGACACCATATATGAGCCATAGGGATAAGCTGCGATGAGGGACCTTTCCCTCCACCTCAAAATCATGTTAAAGTTGGGCGAAGATCGCATATTTCGCAGAGCTAAATGCAAGACAATTTCTTCCATCATGGCTAGTGTGGCGCAGATGCTAGAACCCACCTTTACGCATGCGTGACGTCGTAAATTGTAAGGCAAATGTAAACACATAAATCAGATGTGTGTCACAATTAAAAGAAGGTGTAAATGGACAGGCAAAAAAAATCTGATAAAGGCAACTAATCGAAATTGGGCATCAAGACCTGACAGTGTTAATGGGGCCTATGAGTGTGTCTGTGTGAATGAGAGAATGTATGGGTGTTTCCCAGCACACTGCTAGCTGGAAGTGCATCTGCTGCATAAAACATATGCCAGAGTAGTGTGGTGAATATGGTAAATCAGGTACTAATATACCAAAATATTACCAAATATTACCAAAAATAAAAATTCTGTTATCATTTATTCACTTCAAGTTTTTTGTAAGTATCCTGTTAAGATTTTTGTTCAATCATATCACAAGTAGAATAGTGAGCTAATACAGTTATGACTACTGAGAATGTGTGAGTGATCTAAAGTGATGTCACGCGTCACTGCAGTAAACTGCGGCACAGCACAAAATGGTCTAACACAAGAAATACATAGGGCGAAGCAGTGGCGCAGTAGGTAGTTCTGTCGCCTCACAGCAAGAAGGTTGCTGGTTCGAACCTCGGCTCAGTTTTTTCTGTGTGAAGTTTGCATGTTCTCCCTGGGTTCCAGTGGGTTTCCTCCGGGTGCTCCGGTTTTCCCCACAGTGCGGAACAGGTGAATTGGGAATCCTAAATTGCTCATAGTGTATGAGTGTCTGTGTGTGTGTGAATGTTTCCCAGAGATGGCTGGAAGAACATCCGCTGCGTAAAAATGTGCTGGATAAGTTGGCGGTTCATTCCGCTGTGGCGACCCTGGATTAATGAAGGGACTAAGCCGACAAGAAAATGAATGAATGACAAGAAATACATGGCCAGCAGGAGGCAGTTATGTAACATAGCGAAAATACTGAACTGATATACTGTAGCAGCCAGAGCACGTGAGCAGAGCAAAGCAGTGTGACGCTCAGCTAAGCATTCTGCTCCATGGTCGTGCGCTTGCTCGCCAGTAAACCAATACCGCTTAGATCCCACGCCGTCTTAAATTCCTCTTGTAGGCTTACTCTAATTTTTTGTAACTAAAAAAAACTTAAATAACTGTCTAAAGTTAAAGCACTTCGATGAAATGTTTCTCTATCAATGTGTCATTCTTTCTTGTGCTTTTTTTTCTTTCAGTACACAAAAAATGCGCTAAATAAATACACATTACTTACTTAATTACTTACTATATGTGTATCTATATAGCACATTTATCGTGTATGGCCATAAACCCAAAGCACTTCACAATCATATGACGTAAAATCAATATGGGGTTTAAAAAACAATTCAGTATCGAGCGAAAGACCTAGATATTTAAATTCATCAACATTAGACAACTGTAATCCTCCTATCTATGACGTAATATCTATGACCTAATATCTATGACTTAATATCTATGACCTAAGTGTGTAGGTCAATTGATCGCAAGGTGATTTATACATGACAAACAAGCCCCAGCTTCTCACTGATATGTACAAGAAGGACGTGCAAATGGCACGTATAAAAAAATACAGCCCATTAACGTAGAAAATGTAGCCAGCAATGTCTTTTGGATTTGTCTAGTTAATATTTCACGTTTTTCTAAAACATAGCCCTGCGCACATATTTTCAATAAGCCTGGTTTGCTTATATCATGATTTGTGATATCATTGATTTATCGTGTCACTGTTGACTATGCTGGACTTTTTCATAAAACTTCATGTTGTTTTTACAGGGTGATGTTGGACTTCCAGGTCCGCCAGGTGTTGATGGAGAAAAGGTATAAAATATTCTGAGCAATCTGACATTAGTCCATTAGTGGATGTATTTTAGCAACACTTGAATTTTGATTTTGCTACTTAGGGTCCAAGAGGAAAGCCGGGAGAACCTGGACCCATCGGCCCTCCTGGACCAGAGGGAGCACGAGGAGAAGGAGGAGTCATGGGTTTCCCTGGGCCAAAAGGAGACAAGGGAGACATGGGCCCCTCAGGATCGCCTGTGAGTGACTGTACCAGCTTTTGCCATTATAAATAACCTGTCTGACCACATTTGAGGGGGCTTTCACACCTGTGAATCGAATCAGTTCTTCCGAAACAGGGATTAAAATTGTTACATTGTTGCTCTTTGCTCTTGGTGCGGTTCGCTTCCACACTGCAAAGTTTCTAAACGGACCAAAAGAGCTAAAACAAGTCCCGTGCGAGTAAACTCTCCCCACATTGGTCAGCATGTCAGGGTTTATTTGCAGAGTCCCGCTCAGCTGTCAGGAGAGTTGGTGATTTGGTGGTGTTTGACAAAGTGCGTGCGACGTGTCTGAATAGCAAGGAGAGATGCGGTGGGGAGGGGGTGAGAAGGGTGCACGACATATTTGAGGACCCGGGGGGAGACGCGTGATTACCGAGAGATTATCACTCGTTTTCAGGCAACCAGAAGACTCCCGAAACTTCCCGCCCTACTCATAATTCTCTCTTCATATAGCCGTATGCCTATTACACATCCATAAAACACTGTGATATTACCGCGCTCGGATCGTATCGCTTTCTCACTGCAATCGATCCGCTCCAGAGTTCGTTTCAATCGAGCCGAGACCACCTCATTCAGGCGATCCCGAGACGATTGATTTGGCGCGGATCCTAGCACGATTGCTGGTTTCACATATGCCAAATAAACCGCGCTAACTGAGCAAACGAGGCAGGTTCCGAAACAAAAGTGTAGGTGTGAAAGCACCCTGAGTTTGTTTTCTTTATCCCTATGATTAAATAACACTAATATTAATCGAAATATCATAATATTCATATATTCATCATAATAACCACATTAACCACATTGCCATAATCAAGTTATTGTAAAATAACTGGAAATTGTAGTAAAATAGATGATTTTTGCATGTATTAAAGAGGTGTGGATTCATTTAAACTGAATTGTCCACTGGATAAAACAAGAATGCATCTCCAGTACTTCCAGAGCTCAGTGTATTTGTTTGTTTGTGATATTCTGATTACAAGAACTTTGGAATTTTCCAATAACCATAGAGTATGTAAACACCCTTATCAGATTAAACCAGAATGTCGACCGTAATGATTTGCTTGTAAATATTTGAATGAGTGGAATCATTTTGAGTGCCTTGATGAATTTCTTTTAAGTTTGTTGTGGGTGGGCAGCACTGCGTTTATGAAAGCCTACTAATTGTTAATCCTCCATGTTGGATGCTATGACTTCAAATGTCTCCTGACCGTGGAGCTTGCTTTCAAGTGATGTTCACCAATCCACTTCTCCAATTGACTTTTCTGTCTATTGTATTTTCTATTTCCCCATTTTTTCCTCATTCTGTAGGGTTTAGATGGCCCTACTGGAGAAAAGGGGGTTTCAGGGCCCCCTGGCCATATTGGATTGCCAGGCCCAATGGTACGCAATGGTGCTCCTCAAACAAATAGATGTCATAGTTGAAAAGACATCAAAGTACACTGGGGTTGTGGGGGGAGGGGGGTTGGGGGAGGAGCAATGTATTTCATCATGCCAGTTTTGAATTCTGTTGAATGAATGATACAGTTGAGTATTCCCTCTCCCCTTGTTTTTTGTCATTAGGGTCAGAAGGGTGAACCTGGGGAGAAAGGAGATAAAGCAGAGCTGGTATGTTCCACACTTCAATATCAATATACTTCAATACACACACAAACAAACACATATATAGTATATATATGAGCAGTATCACACAAGTAGCAGTGCGATATGGCTGAATATCGGCACTGGTAGGAGGTGTGCGTTGGAACGAGGCCGCAAGCCATTTGTTTTAGTGTCTCCACAGTAATGATATACAGCCATATCGCACTGCTACGAGTGTGATATTGCGTTTATACAACAGTTTGACCGCATAATCATCTATGTAAAAAAGAAAATTAAACACGAGTCTAAAAACCCTTTTGTACAAGGAACTACTTTCTTCCGCCATTCCTTCACATCTGCAGCTGATGTCAGAAAAGCAGAAACCGTTGCTACTTTACCAACATCATAGAGCAAGTATTTGAATGATTCTCTAGCGCAATGTCTAAAGTGATGACAAAACTGCTGATTTTTCTCACATCCGTCTACAGAGATATCTTCTTAGTGTCTATTACAGTCTACAGTATTTCTCAGTTGTAATCGGTATATTGTGACGGGTGCCAGGTGTCCCACCATTTACCCAGAGACTTTTAGGAATGAAATAAGTAGACAAACTATTTTTCTCTTCCTATTGGACTTTATGCATTTCTCATACATTTTGTATGCTGTCGACTACATACAAATATGTCACAAAATAAAATGTTACGTTATTAAAATAAAAGTATAATACAGCGGAAGAGCGACCATCACACACTTTTCCTTAGAGCAAGCTGAACTGAGCTCCCATGCATGCGTGCTTACATCTCAAAGGTAAAACGACCACAGAAGAAGTCCTCTTAAAGGGGACATGACATTTATATACAATGCATATCAAATATTAAGCGACCATTACAATATCACAATAATTAACCCTGAAAAAAAAAGCAGCGCATTTACTACAAGACTCCTGTTGTGTTTGCGAGAAGGAAAAACGCTAAACAGATGCGGGCATTTCATCTTTATTTCTGCCAACACAACACACACAACACCTGATGTGCGAGTCCCATATCTTACACTCAATGCGTTACAATTACTTAAGGTAACATTATAAAAACTGCAATGCAATATGCAAAAGAGAGAGATCGACTTGGAATATCACTTACCAGTTTAATAATAATTTGACCTACTGAAGTTACGCTGTTTTAATCTTCTAAGGGCTTATTATCAAAGTCTTTTTAAGGTGTATTCTATTATGCAGTCCTTTCGCCATTTTGTGGATGAAAACGTTAACCATCTTTGGTCTACTACTCAGTATGGCAGGCTATGGCTGCCGTCGAGTTGTCTCTCAGAAATTGTAAATATTTTAAAATGGGCAATACTCTTAAAAAATAAGCTGCATAGTTGCAATTTAAACAACTATATTCTCAAAAGCACATTATGTTGTCCAACAACAGTAATATTTGTCAAACTGTAGACCGTCTTCTGCTTGTTGCTGACTGTATGTGGGCACGGGTGCTGATATTACTTAAATATCTAACCACTATCAGCCAATCAGATTCGAGAACCAGACAGAACTTTTGTTTGTGTGTGTATATATATATATATATATATGTATATATATATATATATATATATATATATATATATATATATATATATATATATATATATATATATATATATATATATATATATATGTATGTAACCACGGGGACTGACACATACAACTGGGGTAAGATCCAAAAGCAGGTTTATTCTTCGTCAGGCAAGCAATGGTCAATACAGGTGCAAACGGGTATGTGTAGGCAGTCCATAATCGTAATCAGGAACAGGCGAGAGGTCAAAAGGCAGGCGGCAGACAAAGACAAAGATGCTAACAAGGCTAAGGTCGGTACACAGGATAACAAGACTGGGAAACTCGTTGTAGTGCTACTGACAGTAAACAAGACTCACTGAATGGGTGAGTGTGTGGCTTAAATAGTGCTTGCAATCAGTCTCTTCCAGGTGGTGCAAGTAATCAGTCTAGATGAGGAAGCATGTGTGAGTGTGACCGGAGTGCATGTATTAATATGTAGTCCAGAAATGGCGGAATTGTAGTCTATGGTTATTGTTAGTGCAATCCAGTGATCTTATGGAATCATGACAATATATATATATATATATATATATATATATATATATATATATATATATAAAATTTACCTAAGTTGGTCATTAATAGACATTCCCTTTTCTGTTTTTCCTAAGGTCTATGGGCCTGCTGGACCTCCAGGACCTGCTGGGCCAGTTGGGCCAATGGTGAGGGCAATGGCTGCTTCACGTAAAGCTTATATGTATATTATGGTTCAGCCACTTAGACGATATTTGTTTGTCTAATGGACACCCGTGTGGTCGTTGATGGTGCATTTGTCAAGAGGAACTAATTTGCAACTTTTTGTTTCTCATCAGGGATCTCCAGGTTTGTCAGGACCAAAGGTTGGTATTCCTGCCCAAGCCCCTTTTATATTCCAGTATTGTCTTTCATATGCTAAACAAGGTTGTGGATCTGATTTATTCTTTCTGGTTTAGGGAGAGCCAGGAATAGGCCTGAAAGGAGAGAAGGGATCATCTGGACAAAAGGGAGATAAAGGAGACAGGGGCCATCTTGGACTTCCTGTAAGTACCTTTTCATTCATATCTTGAATGCTAGCCAATATATCAAATTAGTTGTGGTGAGACGAAAACAATAAGTACATTACTTCTTCCCCATGAAACCAGTGCATAAGTAAATTGAAACATTATCGGAAAAGCATGTTTGTGTAAGCTTTGTGCTTTATATCAGTGTGCTGCTATTTCATGTGTCTTTGTTATTGTCATGGTTCAAAGCTAAGTGTCATCACATTGCATGAATCAGTGGATGTCCACATTTGGCAATCGTATATACAAGTGTCATCATGTAATCATCCTGTCACGCTGTTTTATACACGTTTTAATAGATTACCAACAAGTTCCTGATGATAACTCACTGATGTCCAAGTTATTATTTCAAAATACTGTATGTGGTTGTTTATAAATGTTTCCTTTCTGCCCTGTAAATAGCATGCTATACTGTAGATTTTATTACCGTGAACTTCAGGGGTCTTTTTCAGACGTCTGGTGTATATTTATGGTGTCAAAGTCATTGATAAACTTGTTCTAGTCACAGCATCAATGGCACAGTAACTCCTTTTTAAGGCAACTCTGAGATTTCAAAATTGAGATGTTGAATACATGGTACACGGTTTTTAAATCAGCATGTGTCCTGTTTTTGATCGAAAATAGCATATTGAATGTGTTAGATGTATGCATGTAGTGATAAAAATTCTATCTAATGAACCAAGTAAAGGGAATAAAAATTGTATTAGTTTATAAATGTATTTGTGCTGGGCAACTATTAAAATGTTTAATTTTTTATTATTTGCTTGATTTATCTGCGATTAATCACATTTTAATATGCAAAATTCAACAATTAATTTAAAAGTGTATTGCACAATTTTATTTTAAAGGTTCTGCTATAGGAAAAAAGGTGCAATTACACTTCAAACAACTGAGTTGTTTATTATAGTTGTATTATAGTTATATAACAGTGTTCCTTTTTATGAACAGTTAGAATATCTTGTAAGTTTAAACTTAAACATTACTGAAAATCTGTCCTCTGCGTAAAAGATATGCAGGATTAGTTGGCGGTTCATTCCGCTGTGGCGACCCCAGATTAATAAAGGGACTAAGCGGAAAAGAAAATGAATGAGTGAATTACTGTAAATCTAAAACCAAGGCCAGGGCATTTATGTCTTATTATGTTTAGGTCTTATTTTCAGATAACCAGCTTGATAAAAAAGAGCTTTATGAACTACAGTATAGAGATCTGGGCGGGACTGAATTTTTAATGCCGCTCCCGCCAGGTTTTATTCCACACCCAACCGCTCCCGCTGTATAATCAGTATAATAATTTTCTACCCGACCTGGGGTGCGTTTTCCAAACAACGACGTAACTCGTGGCTGAACTATTACAGTTTTAAGCATCGTTTGGGAAAAGAACGATGTAGTGATGAGTGTTTCCCAAAACACGTTGGGTCTTCTCTTTCTGAAAACGTAGCTCTATGTACAGTTCTGGAGATCGCGAATTATGTAGCCAGAAGTACTTTTGGCTGCATTTCGTCTATAAAACTAAACTCTATGGGGAGGTATGATGTCGGTCTTATTCACTCTTACTACCTGACCGCTTACCTCCATATGGACAGCTTTTCCACTGTTACCAGTTTGTCCAGTTAGCTTGTCAAGTATGTTGGTGACTTGAGACACAGGGAGGAGTTGACCATGACAGGGGAGTTCAAGTTCTGCGAAGAACAGTTCTAGAAAGTGGGTTAGACAAAAACAGAAGCCAAAAATAAGATAAACAATAAATAACATGGTGAAAATGTGGTCAAATCTGAAAACGTGGTCAAAATCAGGCGAGGGTTTTCTTTTTCTGGATTGCTTTTTAAAACTGTGGGTTGGGTTGACGAAAGTGAGTGGGTGAGCCAATCGGTGCATTCGAAAACAGTATTTATTGGGTTTAGGGAAGGAGGGTGGGTTAGTTGATTGGTCAATCAGTCAGTCGTTCAGTCAGTTAAACAGTCGGTCATTCAGTCGACAGTGGCCTCTGGTGGATTTACACGAGGACAGCAGGTGCGAATGACTCTCGCGAGAGAAATTTGAGATCTCAAAAAACATACACAGCGGCCTCTGGTGGATTCACGAAACCAAAAACTGCAAAAAATATATCTTCTGGGACGTATTTGATGATCTCCAGAAATGTATATAGAAGGACATTTTCAGAATGAGCCTGGGTTGTTCAAACTAATTGTCTGCAGTAATTAATCAATGAGATAATAACGTGTTAACTTGCCCAGCCCTAAAATTTCATATTAGTATATTCTATTTTCCCTCTTCTTGTCGGTTTGTTTGCTTAAAACATGCTATAATCAATCTTAACTTTTCAAATCTCCCACGTCATGCTATATGTGGAGCATTTTTGTGGCATGCAGATATCCTGCCTATGTATAGTGTTCCAGTAAAGTCATTTTGAGGTTTCAGTTAGCATGCTGCCTTAGAGGGTAGTGAACAGCAAGGCAGCTCACTTGGTTTTGCAATCAAGCAATTATTTACAAGGGTTATTTTTAGTTTTTGTATCTCTTTTGGAATTTATATCCCACCTGTTGTCATTTTATCCCCATGCACAAAGATCAAACGAATGATTGAAAACAGCATGCTGTATTAAGAACCAGCTTGTTAACTCACATGCACTAAGAAAAGTAGACCTTACATTTTTGTCTTGTTTCTCGTCGAAACATCTAAAAAAAATCTTGAATTAAGAAGCATTTCCCAGACTAGAAAAAAATATGGAAAATAATTAGTCAACATTAAGTGAGGGTGAAGCAGTGGCGCAGTAGATAGTGCTGTCGTCTCACAGCAAGAAGGCCGCTGGTTCGATCCTCCGCTCATTTGGCGTTGCTGTGAGGAGTTTGCATGTTCTCCCTGTGTTCGCGTGGGTTTCCCCCACAGTCCAAAGACATGCGGTACAGGTGAATTGGATAAGCTATACTGTCCATAGTGTATGAGTGTGTGTGTGGATGTTTTCCAGAGATGGGTTGCGGCTGGAAGGGCATCCGCTGCATAAAAACTTGCTGGACAAGTTGGCGGTTCATTCCGCTGTGGCGACCCTGGATTATTAAAGGGACGAGTGAATGAATGAACATTAAGTGAGATTTTCCTTAAAACAATCTAAACCTGGGGTCTCAAACTGCCGGCCTCTGGGCCATTTACAGCCCGCCCGAGATTCGGCCCGCCAAAACATGTATTTTTGAACCACTATCATTGTTGTGCAGTTGCGTCTAGCCACTTGTGGTTTTGACCCACCACCTAGACGACATTTAAAGTAATGCATTCATATTCTTTTACTTTCATTTTCTCTTAGTGTATGGTTGAGAGTAACACACATGCGTTTTAGTTCTATGGCCGATTTAAACATTAAAATATATGTTTGTAAGTGCTCAATTTTGACTAAAGCTCTGTTTTTGTAAATATTTAACATGACTTTTGATTATTATCAGTTTTATATCATTTTTATTTTGTTTTACACTTCATCGTGGCTTAGATGTTTTGCTGGTGGTGTAACAAATATGATAATTTTGCTAATGTTTAAATGGTCTCATTCGATAGATTTTACTCATATGCTTATTAAGATTTGCATAAAAAACTATGTAGGTTACATAAGTAAAATTGTACTGCTAGTTGAATTTAACTTCTTAACGTAAATTTGAATTTGTACATACTTTTCCCCTTTTTGTTGTAGTTTTACAAAAAAAAAAAAAGAAAGATATTGAGAAGAACAATTGCCAGTAAAGTCACTTAAGTTACCCAAACTGCGCTATTCTTATGCTATTGGAACAATACAATTGGTTAGGACAGAATAATAACTAGTATGCCTATTATTTGTAGTATTTTCATAGCAATTTAAACTACCGCTTCTGACTGCATGTACTCTATGGAAGAATGACTGAGTGTGTGTCTTAACGCTTGGCCATACACACAACAACCACAGATATACAGAATTATTAGCCCCCCTTTGAAAGATTTATTAGTTATTAAATGTTTCCCAAATTATGTTTAACAGAGCAAGGACATTTTCACAGTATTTCTAATAATATTTTTTCTTCTGGAGAAAGTCTTATTTGTTTTATTTCAGCTAGAATAAAAGCAGTTTTTAATTTTTTACGAATCATTTTAAGGCCAAAATTATTAGCCCCTATTAAGCTATATTTTTTCAATAGTCTACAGAACAAATTATCGTTATACAATAACTCGCCTAATTACCCTAACCTGCCTAGTTAACCTAATTAACCTAGTTTAGCCTTTAAATGTCACTTTAAGCTGTATTTCAGCTGTATTTTAGCAGCTAATGTGTGACAAGGTAAACGTGCTGTCTCTACTTTTTTCTTGTACTTGAATATTAAAATGGCCTCCTATGAATTGTTAGTCACTGAAATGGCCCCCCGCCAACTTGAGTTTAAGACCCCTGATCTAAACAATCTGCCAGTTGAGTAAGTAAAATAATTTTATTTCAAACTGAAACCAAGATTATTTTACTTACCCCACTGGCATGAAATTTAGCCTGTTTTCTAAAAAAAAAAAAAAAACTCTTAAATTGATTTATTATTTCTGAAAACAAAACAATGTTTATTTACTTGTCTACAAGTTGTTTTTTGATTGAAGAATTGTTAGATATTTGGACAAGAAACAAGACAAAGACTCTAAACAAGAAGCTAAAAGCTAAAATCCCAACAAAAGGAGTTACTGCCTGTCTTTTACATGTCATCTTCAACACGTCACCCTTCCATCAAAACTAGTGTTGTTTTTATGTGGCACACGAGTCACTGTTTCACTCACCCACCCTTTCCTCCCCCCACACTTCTCCCCTCCCTCCCTCTCCACCACCTCCATCTCTCCTCTCGCTCTGTAACTCTTTACACACTGTCCAGGGGGCTCATGGTTTAGACGGCAGGCCTGGTCCAGTGGTGAGTGGCGCAAGAACCGTTTCCATCATCCACCCTTCTATTTCCATCCATCCATCTCTTCTTTTCCTGCCCAGTCTGCCTGCTTCTCTTGTTTGTTTGTCTGCCTATGCTTGAGCTGTTGCTTGCTGGTCTTCTGTCCTTTCTGTGTTGTCTAATGGTCAAGGCCTTGTTTAGATCTCTGTTGAGGTTACATCGGCATGAGTAAGACTTTGATTTGACTTTCTCCCTAAGCCTGTTTGGCTGTTGCCTCTTGCTGTTTCCAGAGGTACCACGCTCGGTTTATTTCTCAACCTGTCAACACACCAGTGACTGAAGGGGAGCATGGCCAAACACTTATAAACATCTCTCTCTCTGTCTGTCTGAAATGCACTTTCCCTCTCTTTGAAAAGTGGCTACTTGGTAATCTACCAAAGTGAATAATTCCTTTGCATTTCATGTCATCACAACCCTCCATAGCACTATATATATATATGTATATATTCAGCGCGTCTGACCTCTGTTGACCTTTCAAAGGCTTAATTCTCTCCAAGCTTCAAAGCTTTATTTCATTCCAAGATAAGCTTTGACCTTGCAATGTCATATACCAAGAGAGAGCATGATGGGATGCGGCTGCATGAACAATTACAGTATGGCATACAACTATATATAAATGGCTGAGAAGCAAGACTCCTGAAAAAGCAAGATGTCTAACAGCCCTTCTGTCCAATCCTCTCCAAGTCATGGGAGGAAAATGGAAGATGGATTCGCTGTTATATTTACTTGTGTGTTTGTTTATTTCCACTTAGATCAACAAACTTTGGAGTTGTGTCAAATTCCTCAGCAGATTGGAGCTTTTAAACATGCATTAGGGTTTTCAAATTGGGCTTATTCAGCTCAAAGAAGTTTGTTGATCTATTGGTGCTCAAGAATGACTAGACTTTCTCCCGTTTTGACTTCGTCACCCACAATCATCCCTGCTGTCGAATCTCACAAATGTTTCTTTCTTTGTTCGAAGGGTCTGATAGGACCAGCAGGAGTTCCTGGACCTGCAGGACCAAAAGGGGAAATGGTTGGTGTTTTGGTTATAAAATAAACAATCATATCTGCGAGCAGGGCTTAACGTTAACTTTTTTGATCACCAGTCACTGTGGCTAGTAGATTTCCAGCATTACTTGCATCTTACCATTACTTATCATTATCACTTAGCCAGAATTTTGTTGTTAGGACTTATTGAATATTTTATATGCATAAATCAGACTTTGACAAGCTAAAATTATTTGATTTAGATTTTGTCCACATGCCTATATACTTGCTTAATGTGCATGAGCTAATGGGTTGTGAGTTTTTATTTCACATTACTTTTTAGGGCTCAAAATTAAGGATTTACCAAATTTATCTCTGACCACACACACACACACAAAAAAAAAATTCGTAGCCACAAATGTTAAATAATATCTCAAAACAAGCAAAATATAGCTGTATACATGCACTTTTTTTTCAACAAAATTTTTCTTTGAAAAAAAAAAAACTTGCCCTGTCTTTGGGCCTTAAGGCTGATTTATACTTCTGCGTCAAACGCACGCGTATGCTACGGCGTTGACGCATAGCTCTACACCGTGGCCGTCGGCGTCACTGACGTGCACCTCTCAAAAAATGTAACTACATGTCGCAACGACGCGTAGCGCAAACTCTGTGATTGGACAGCTTGGTAGCGCTGACGAGTCTGGGCGGGACCGAGAGCCACGCGAATGGCGCGACCTGATGGAGCGATTGTTTACAAGTGTGGAGTCTTGTGAAGGAGCTCCAGATGGATAGTTTTGTTTTGTGTTTACCTCATAGTTAAAGTTGTTGCAAGTCCGCCAGTTTCTGCCTCAAAATGAGCGAGTTTGAGCCACTTACACATTCAAGAAGTGTTCAGGAAAAGCACAACACCAGTGATGAAACTCGACACATAGAAACAATTACACCTCACTGCCAACTAGCGTTTCGGAAGTGTTAATGCAGACCAACAGAGACACCGCGCAAAAGTATAAATGCACAGCTACGCGCATTGCATGCCCCGTGGGTTAAGCCGGTCACTTGACGCAGAAATATAAACCAAGCTTTATCATACACCCGGCGCAATAAGGTGCAAGATGTGTTTGGCGCAATTTGTTGTTATTTTCAGACCAGCGCAACCCTAATTTTCAAATTTTGCACCACATTGTTTAAATAGCAAATCTATTCGCGTCACTTTGTGAATTCATGGTTGTTCTGGTCTAAAAAGGAGGTGTGTTAAGGCGCACTGTTGGCACGTTGCTATTTTGAAGAACTGAAATGCACCACTGACCAACTAAAAGCTGGTCTAAAGTTTAGCGCAGAGCACATTAGTTATGGGCCTATGTAGGTCCAAAACACATTACGTAATACACACAGGATGTACAGCAACACACAAATATATTCACATATGAAAAAAAAATAAAGAATTAAAACGTTACAAAGGTTATTATTTTCTACATAAATATAAAAACCACTACCTTCATGCCTTCTTCATGTCTGAGGGCTTTTTTTAGTTTATTCATGACAATTAGCATTTGTATAAAGTTATTATTATTAGCAGTATTATTATAGGCATATTTATTTTTGTTTGAATAAAAACAAGTTTAGATTTGTCCACCTGTCAGGTTTTTGAGATGTATGCATCACCATATGGGGCATAATAATAGGATGTGTGTTTGGATATAAAAAAAATTTGACCACACTTCATTATTATTGTTCATTTATTTATTTGCTGGAAGTTAGAACTGAATTTAGTTTTGAAAACAAATCTTTGCTCTTAACAAACTAAATTAAACATGTAGGCTAATGGATGTTTACAACAATGTTTCCTTATTCACAAAAGAAGTGAAGGTCTGTTTAGATGTTTTCTCGCTAGTTAAGTGTTCAGTTTTTCCACTTACAAAATCCGTCACGTAAATAGCAAATGTGCCATGGTGCAACGCAACTGGCTCTTAAAGGGAATGTGAGATGAGACTCTGATTGGTTTAATGCATGTTATTCTCAAAACACACCCTAGAATTCATTAAAAGAATAACTCTGTTAAACCATGCGCCAGGGTGCAGAGCGTATTTTTCTGTCCTTAAAATGACAAAAGTGGGTTTGGACACACCTTTCATGTTTTTGCAACTTGCGCTTTAGACTTTGCATCTAGATCGTTAAAAAAGAACCCTTCATGTTTCAGTCCAAATTACTTCAAATAATCAAAAAAAGAATTTAACACTGCAGGGCAAGCTTTTCTTACCTATTTTTTTTTCAACTGGTCTCTAGTTCAAATATCTTGAAATTCTTAAATCAAGAAACATTTTCTAGATTAGGAAAAAAATATACATTTTAATAACCTTATTTTTTTAATAACTTATTTTTTGCTTCCACATTATGAACTGCTTCCCTTTGGTAGAAGATAGAGAGTCCCAGATTTTAGGTTAAATCGTTATAAGAAATCCTTTGTACCTGCTTCAGTGGGTTTATTTAACAACAGTCTATCTTAATTAACATTATAAATTTTGTAACTGCTGTATTTTGTATTGTTTTCATCGCTTGTTTTTATGGAATGTCTGCAGAAATATGGTGATGCTCATAAAAAAATTCCTTTCAAGGACAATAAAGTTTATTACTACTACTACTGCTTATTTTCAGAAATTATATGTCAACATTAACTAGAAAAGACTTCTTGATTTAAGATTTTTTTGATATTAGAACTATAAACAAGACCAAGACAATCTAAGACTTTTTTTTTTTTTTTTGCTGTGAAAGCACTTTATTGGAGCTTTAAAGTACATCACAATTAGCTTGCATCATTGCTTAGATGATACATAATGCAACAACATCATCAGTTGTTGAATTCATAGATATTTAAAGCACACCAAGAGGATATTTAATACACACCAAGTGAAAAGTTGCTCTCTAAAAGGTCAGAATTTAACAGTCTGCTTTCAATCAATCAAAATTACGTATTCCTAGATAGTACAATAATAGATATTAATTCTGATGTAATACATTGAATTAAAATGCAAGCCTTTTTCATTTTTGCAGGGGGAAAAGGGTGATATGGGAGTAGCAGGACCAATTGGGCCTCAAGGCATCCCTGTAAGTGCTGTAACAGACCACACGTTACCATTTCAAAAACTTTCCAAGAGTATTCAAATGAATAACAGACCATCAATAATACCTCTTCCCAATTCATTCAGGGTTTAGTAGGACCACCGGGATTAAAAGGAATCAAGGTAGGTTCTGATTTTTTTCTAGTTTGTTTTTAGATGTTATTGTGACTTTAAGGTACAATAACATAAGTCCACTTTCTTAAAATAAAGGAATGGACTATATTTCTAAACCAGCATGAGTCTGCCAAACTTGCCAAACTGTTTATTATAAAATTCATGTGGTTATATTATTTGTTCTTAAGGATTATGATATAGTATCATTAATTGAAAAATATTTTTGTGTGTGTGTTTATGAGACATGCAGAAACATGCTGGGTATAAGAAATGAGAATGGCTACTGCTCACTGCAAAATTTGCACATGTACAGTGAGGTCTAAAAGTCTGTACAAATAAAATAAATAATCAATAATTCTGAAAACATTAAAAGAGTAATGTTATCACATTGAGTTCAAATTGTTTGAGCTGAATGACCCATCAGATTAGTGTTCATTTATTAAATTGATCATTTTATGTACAGTGGAGATGAAAATTATAGAACAATTTATAAACACTTGTGTTATCAGTAATAATGTAATCCCCATGGATTAAAATGTGAAGGGATTTAAGTTGTTGCTCTACTATGTTAGTAGAATAGTGTTTTAGGTGAACAAAAATAAGTAAACATTGATCGAAGTAGAAAGATTACACAATAGTTAACAATTGGCCATTAATATTCTCTGGAATACCTTGTTTTCTCAAGCATTTATCTTTTGTGGACGATAAACGATCATACCTTTTGGCTGACTTGAATGAGTTAGTGACATTGTAAAGATGCAGTATTTCATTTAATGACCAACTTCTCTTGCTATGGCTGAAAGTGTCATCCCTTTTGCTTTCATCTGGATAACTTGCTCTGTGAGCATTTCAGTCACTTAAGATTGTGTACCTTCATTTCAATTGTACCATATAAGATGCAACTTTTACAAAGGTACAAAACTTTTCCTTAAGGAACATTAAATGTACCACAGTGTAGCTTTTTTGCGAGAGTTTACCTTGAAATTACAGAAATTATTATGTTCTCTAATTTGAATGTTTAAGAAAAAAAAACCTGTCAAATTAGTCTTTTAGATGTCACTGTTTATGTTTATTGGTCATGAATGATTATTTTTGTTATATTCTTGTATTAGAACAGTTTATTTGTCAATTTTAGCTTTTTGTTATTATTTTTAATGCTAAGACTATTAAACACAAATTATGTTTTCATGAATAATGTAAAAACATGAAGGCTAAAGTTCAAATGTTTTGTCATTTCCATGAGAAGTACATGTGAATGCCTTGCTTCCCCTATGCATTCATCCTCCTAGACTGTATGCCTGTTTCCTATTAACACTAATTTCTAAGTTAATGTCTGAATGTCTCCCACCTTGAATGTCAGGACATGTCAGTGCTCCTCCCAGCATCTTCCACTGCTAATTTTACAAACATAACTCTTGTAAAAACCTAAAAAAAAAAATTACAAATTCTGCCACTGTGCTGATCCTCGTCTCAGGGAAGGTGCTGTGGAGGACTCTTGGGCACGGTGCTGTTTTTACTCTGGTCCTTGTCTTCCTCTCTCTTTTTTTCCACAGGTCTTCCTATCCCCTTTTCCTCCCCCTGCACCCTGGCCTGTGTCCGTGGCTCTTTTTGCTGAGTCAGGCCGGGTCGTCCTCTTTGTCCCCCTCTCACTCCCTGGCCTCCTCCTGCTCCTCCTGCATCCTAATGTTATAGTCTGGGTTAATACTCTTCCTCTTCCTCACTTCCTACTTTTTTTGTGCACATCCTTCACTGACCTCCCTACCAACCTGCATTCATTTTCTCCCAATTATCCTTATGCACAGAGTTCGTATTGTTCCACGAAAGCCTCATCTGGATCTATTTTGAAAGGGCACATAACCAAGCTATGTGGGAAACGGCATTATGTCAGTGCGAGGCTCATTTTGACATCCTGATGTGGGTATTTAGGAAAAACACTCCTGCCGGGAGCCAAAAGCTCAGAAACGGTGCTTAAGGAATCCCTATTTGTCAAACAGGATAAGAAAATGAGCTCCGTGTTGATTCATAATGTAATCCACTTTGATTTTTTCCCCCTTCCTCTATTAAGTGTTAGAATAACAGTCATGATGAGGGCTGTCGGAATGGTAGAACTCTGAATCTTAGCATGGTTAGATCCCAATTTGGAAGACTTATAAAGCTTCAATGTAATAGTTTCCTCCAAAGAACCCTTCAACTTTGCGTGCAGACTCAAAGATATATCCCGAAACCCTCCGAATGCAAAGCTGGTCTTAATTAGTTTTAAAGACAAGTTGTGTTGATTAAACAGTTTCAGGGCCTCTTCATCATTTATACATTAGCCATTTTTTTCACTCAAGTGTTCTAAATGGAATCAATAGCAGATTGTCTGTTTATTGGCCAACGTTTGATGAAAAGATCGGGGAATAAAATGTATGTCCTTCAGAACTCAAGAAATAATCTGCAGTTAGAATGACTCTACAGCATGATTGCGATAATTTTCATTAATTTCAAGTGCCCTGTGAAGGCATCATTTACGGCATGCTGTTTATGTACAAAAAAAACAATAATAATAATTATTATTATTTTTGTTGTTATTATTACTATTATTGTTTATGTTATTATTATTTATTATTATTATTGTTGTCATTATTATTGATGTTATTATTATTAGTGTTAATATTATTGTTGTTATTATTGTTATTGTTTTTATTATTATTGTTGTTGTTGTTATTATTATTATTATTATTGTTAGTATTATTATTGCTATTATTGTTAGTGTTGTTATTATTATTGTTATTGCTGTTATTATATGTTGTTGTTATTATGATTTTAGTGTTATTAGTATTATTATTAATATTATTATTGTTGTTATTATTATTGTTGATGTTATTATTATTATTATTATTATTATTATTGTTATTATTATCACTATCATTATTATTAGTGTTAATATTATTATTGTTCGTGTTATTATTTTTTATTGTTATCGTTATTATTATTATTATCATTATTATTATTGTTAATGTTAATATTATTATTGTTCGTGTTGTGATTATTATTGTTATTGCTGTTATTATTATTTTTAGTGTTATTATTAGTATTGTTGTTATTATTATTTTTAACATTGTTATTATTGTTATTTCTAATATTATTATTATTATTGTAATGTCATTATTATTTTTGTTATTGTCATTATTATTGTTGGTGTTGTTGTTGTTATTATAATTGTTGTTATTATTATTGTAAGTGTTAATATTATTGTTAGTGTTGTTATTATTATTGCTATTGCTGTTATTATTATTATTTTTAGTGTTATTATTATTATTATTACTAGTGTTATTATTATTATTGTAATGTCATTATTATTGTTAATGTTATTATTATTATACATTTTTTATTATTATTGAATGATAATATTTAGTGGACATTTTATTTGATTTCATTATTTCATATAGAACTGCTGTTCTGTTGAACTTTCGGCTGAAGAATCCTAAAAAAAAGATCAAAAAATTGCACAAAAAGAATATTAAAATAAAGTTTAACAGAAGTACATGTTTCTTGAGCACCAGTTTGCCATTTTATAATGGTTTCTGAGAGATTATTTAACACTGATGACTGGAGTATTGCCTGCTGACAATTCAGCTTTGTCACTACAGCAATAAAATACATTTTTAATTTCTATAAAAATGTTAACAGTGCATATACATTGTAATAATAATGTGCAATATTACTGTATTTACTGTCTTATAAAATTACCGCCATATCGGTGAGAATAAAAACATATTTTAAACACATTTCTGCTCAAAAATATTAAGTAATTAAGGCAAACAAATTTATAATAATCCAGTGGTTTGCTTCCAAAAGCATGAACTTTTCATAAAGCAAATCTTTAATATTGTTATTTGCTTTTATATTTTTTTAACACTTCATAAATTTACATTGATTGTAATGTAATATTGTAATCCTGCGATACTTCAGCCATTTAAAAAAACAAAAACACATAGAATAAATAATAAATGAGTAAATAAGTCTGCACACTAACCTAACTGGCTGATCTCCTTTCTCCTTAACCCCTCCACTTACCCTTTTTAAATGATCCCAGTCTTCATGATAGCTCCATTCATAAGCACATCTCCTTTTAGAATGTCTTGTAGAGCAACCAAAATGTCATACAATTATTCTCAGTGATGGTGCTTTGCTTACAAGTACTGCTATAGGAGGACTTGAGTGACTTTTTTTTTGAATGCACTTGTTTGCAGGGGGAGAGGGGCAAGAAAGGCAACAGGGGGGCCAAAGGGGATAAGGGAGACCAAGGAGCCCCTGGATTAGATGCCCCGTGTCCGTTGGTATGTCTTTCGTTCAACGTGCAGCACTAAGGCAAAAGGAGACTTATAGAAAGCAGTGTCTCCTTTTGTCTTTGTGTAATAACTAACAAATACCCATGAGAGTTCTGGTCAAAGTCTGTAAATTATATTGGTATGATCCTTATATCCACTTTATTTAAAGTCCTAATGACGATACAGTATATATTGATAATAGGAGTAATCATATGTCAAACTGTAAACAATCAGTAAATTGTTTTTAAAAGCTTTTGGTAGCAAACAAAGACTAGCGACCAGAACTCTGAAAGGGATTTTTACTTTTCAGGGTTAAGACTGACAGGAATATGGTACTGCGGGACACAATGGGATGAGTCAGTAGTTCAACAAACTAGCTAGCTTTGTTGTATTAAGTGGCATTTCAACCCTGTGGACACATTGAACCTGTTCCTGTCAGTCACAAGTCCAGTGTGATCTGGACCAATGAGCTGCTGGAACAGAGCGGCCAGTGTGGGGGAGTGGCTAGATGACAGGAAGTTTAAATGACTGATTTCATAAACAGGGTTTCCGAGGCTTGAAAGGGGAGAAAGGTGAACCGGGGCTGCCAGGCCTGGATGGGCTAGATGCCCCATGTGCTGTGGTATGCTGATGTCTATCCCTTTGCTTATTCCGCATGCTTCCTGCTGTTGTACACCTATAATGCTTTTAACCTACTTAAAGCCATTTTTAAATAGAGAACATTTAGTTATAAAATAGCCCTCTTTAAAATACATGGTGTGTTAATAGTTAGTATTATCCATCGTTTTTTATTATTAGCCAATTTACTCAATTATAAAAATATTAAATATCCAAGTTCATTTTTACAAATAAATATTTCTATTTGACAGTTTGTTTATTTATTTAGCGTATGTGAAACTAATGAACTATGCACGAAACATTGGCTTTGTTTAGGCTATCAATTTGATTTTTGTGCATATGCGATTAGAATCAGATCATACTTAGCAAGTGCGACTTGCAGAAAAACTGTGATTCATGTTCAAAATCATATTTGAATGATATTGAAACTCCTTTTTTTTTTGGTCTGACAGCTCATGGGTGAGTTTCCCAAACAATGATGGTGCTTAAAGGGATAGCTTATACCCAAAAATGAAAATGTTGTCATATTTTTTTTCCCAAACCTTTATGCAGTTATAATTTTGACAGCAAATTTGGATTTGCAGTGCATCTGGAAAGTATTCATAGCGCTTCACTTTTTTCACGTTTTTTTGTTACAGCCCTATTCAAAAATGGATTAAATTCATTTATTTCCTTAAAACTCTACACACAATACCCCATAATGACAATGTAATTTTTTTTTTTTTTTTAAATTGTTGCAAATTTATTACAAATAAAAAACCTGGCCGAGGCAGTGGCGCAGTAGGTAGTGCTGTCGCCTCACAGCAAGAAGTTCGAACCTCGGCTCAGTTGGCGTTTCTGTGTGGAGTTTGCATGCTCTCCCTGCCTTCGCGTGGGTTTCCTCCGGATGCTCCGGTTTCCCCCACAGTCCAAAGACATGCGGTACAGGTGAATTGGGTAGGCTAAATTGTCCGTAGTGTATGATTGTGTGTGTGAATGTGTGTGGGCATCCGCTGCATCCGCTGCGTAAAAACTTGCTGGATAAGTTGGCAGTTCATTCCGCTGTGGCGACCCCGGATTAATAAATGGACTAAGCCGACAAGAAAATGAATGAATGAATAAAAAACCTGAAAAATCACATGTACAGAGGTATTCACAGTCTTTTCCGTGAAGCTTTAAATTGAGCTTAGGTACATTCTGTTTCCACTGATCATTCTTGAGATAATGCAGCAGCTTAATTGGAGTTCAGCTGTGGTAAATTCTTTATGGGGTATTGTGTGCAGAATGTTGAGGAAATAAAAGAATTGAATCCATTTTAGAATAAGGCTCTAGCATAAGAAATGGTGGAAAAAGTGAAGCGCTATGAACACTTTCTGGATGCACTGTAGTTTTAATCTTAGTCTTTTGACTAAAATGTAATATTTTTTTTTGTTATATTTTAGTTTTATGACTCATTAAAGTTTAAGTTGACTAAATTTCATAAGATTTTAGTTACTAAATATACTCGAGATTTGCTTGACTAAAATATATTTGGTTTGATTTAAGTGTAATTTAACTAAAAAATTGTATTCATTTATCTATACAAAATATTCTAACTTAAAATTAAATAAAACTAATTAAAATATGGAATAAAGCTTTTCCATTAAAGACTAAAAATTAGATATGCATTGTTTATTTACATCATAGGTAATTTGTAAAATTTCTGCAATCAATCCACATGTAAAAACAATAGCCATCTGAAAATCCAGGATGGTGCAATTATTTATAAAACCCTTTATTTTAACTTGGTAAACTACTAACGTGGCAACAGTCTTTTGAACAGTTTCAACTCAAGCCATTAAATCTTTGAAAGTCCACTTTGCAATGTCAGTGTATAGCAAACTTTACTGTTGTAGTTGGTGTTACAGTACATGTTGCTCAGCTATAGCACTCATTAAATAAGTAATGACATATGACCGACAAATGATAATGTGTTACCTTGTAAAATGTGCACTCAGTCCCATGGCTGTGTTAGCTCACAAAGAGGAATTCTAAAGTTAAGATGATCGTAAAAAATAAAAGTGTGCTTCACTTCAAGGCAGTTTTGTTATCTTGATAACTTAATATAGTATATTGTATGCGACTCCCTAATAAGCGGAGATTAGAGCACTTCAGTATCATTACATCCTTACAGACGTAAGAAATAGTCACATCACTAAACGACATCCTGTATAAAGCAGTTTTGTGTTACAGGTAAATTGTAAATAGCTGTTGTCATGACAATTGCGGCAGATGCAGACAGCGCGTGATGATTCCCTGGCATGCTGATGTCGCTTTAGATTTGTTGTTTTTATCAACTATTACCCACCCCATACAGTTTTCGGTCTTTTTGTCTTGACATTAAATGTGAATCTTCTTTTTCCCTCAGCTGTCGTCATTTCATTATAGTTAAATCTGACAGACACCTCTATGGAAGATGATGTAATCACATCCCGCGTCTACCGTGGACCAGTTACTTTTCAAATGTGTGTGTGCGTGTGTCATGCATCACACACCAAGATTAATTCTGATTAGATATTTTCCAAAAAACGTCTCTCAATCACATTCTCTTCTCGTTTTTATTAGTTAACGAAAATGTCCGTTTATTTTTATTATAGTTATTGTCATCATCACTTTTTTATTTAGTTTTCGTCTAGTTTTCGTTGGTAACTAGTTTGTCACAAAAATTTCGAACATTTTCCGGCAACAAAATTAACACTGCCTTTATTAGTTTCCCTCTTCTGTGAAACACAAAACTATCCCTTTAAATAGCATAGTATTTAGAAACTACTTCTACTAGAAGAAACTAACTATTAGTCCGCAGGACAATGTGCGATTCTTTCTGTAAATAAACAACATGGAATGTAAGGATCGTTTAGATATATTTTCTGTTATTTTGTGTTCAAATCAAAGTTTGAGCAGTGGTACTGCAGCTCAGACACACATGTACTCTTCAGTAGCACTAAAGCTGCTTTAATTTACTTATAGTAAATAACATTTTAATATTTTAAGCATAGAGCTGTATAACATGTTAGCTTGCTTATTATGGTCAAGTTATTGATCCTTATGTCATATGTCATATAAGGACAAATTATGGCTCTATGGCCACTATACACAGTGTTGCAAGAAGGCATCTTCAGTTTTCAAATTCAAGTCGTTTTTTGATGTTTTTAATGATAATTTGGGACGTCAATTTAATGTAGTTATGACATCAATGTACACTCACTGGCCACTTTATTAGGTACACCTGCCCAACTGCTTGTTAGCGCAAATTTCTAATCAGCCTAGCACATGGCAGCAACTCAAATGCATAGGCATGTAGACATGAGGTGCGTCCCAAATCGCATACTCATGCACTATTCTATGCCATTTTGTAGTATAAATAGTGTAAGTTGTGCATTGACACTGAAAACTCTAAAAAGATGCACTTGAATTACCCGGATGATGCATTTTTATTCAACAGTTAATATGAAGTGTGGAATGATGGACACTTCACGCACTTAACAGCCACTGCTTTGCTCACGTAGTGGAAGGGGCGGAGCTATCGGGCGCACATGTTGGATTACTTTATTTATTTTGGATTGTGAAAGCAAAATTCTCCTACAAGAGTGATTATAGCGCCTCTTCGATAAATTCATGGCAGGTATTATTTGGTAGTTTGGTCAATTATTTTACCAATTTGGCAACCCACAAACGTCATCAGGGAAACAGTTTGAATTTCCTCTTTGTAAAAAAACAATTAGTGTTCCATTAGGGACGACACTACATTTATACACTATGCTGTTGAGTGTGTAAGTGCATAAGTACATACAGTAGTGCATAAGGGCATAGTCTATAGTGTGCCATTTAGGAAGCAGCTGTGGTCCAGACAACCTGCTGAAGAATGGTGATTTCAGTGACTTTGATCGTGGCGAGGTTGTTGGTGCCAGACTGGCTGGTCTGAGTATTTCAGAAACTGCTGATGTACTGGGGTTTTTACCCACAACCGTCTCTAGGGTTTACAGAGAATGGTCTGTAAAATAAAAAATATCCAGTGAGCGGCACTTCTGTGTGCATAAATGTCTTAATGATGCAAGAGGTCAGAGGAGAATGGCCAGACTAGTTTGAGCTAATAGAAAGACAACAGTAACTCAAATAACTTGCTACAACTGATATGCAGAAAAGCGTCTCTGAACACACAACACATCAAACCTTGAGGCAGATGGGCTACAGCAGCAGAAGACCACACTGGGTGCCGCTCCTGTCAACTAAGAACAGGAAACTGAGGCTACAATTCGCACAGGCTCACCAAAATTGGGCAATAGAAGATTGGAAAAACAATGCCTGGTCTGATGAGTTACGATTTCTGCTGCAACATCTGGATGGTAGGGTCAGAGTTTGAGGTTAACAACATGAAAGTGTGAATTCATATATTTTCTTGGGAAATTTTCTTGGCACACTTTGGGCCAATTAGTACCAATTGAGCATTGTGTCACTGCCTCAGCCTCCCTGAGTATTGTTGCTGACCATGTCCATCCCTTTATGACCACAGTGTACTCATCATCTGATGGCTACTTCCAGCAGGATAACGCACCATGTCATAAAGCACAAATCATCTCAGACTGGTTTCTTGAACATGACAATGAGTTCACTGTACTCAAATGGCCTCCACAGTCATTAGATCTCAGTCCAATAGAGCACCTTTGGGGTGTGGTGGAATGGGAGATTTGCATCATGGATGTGCAGCCGACAAATCCGCAGCAACTGCGTAATGCTATCTTGTCAATATGGATAAAAAAGTCTCTAAGGAATATTTCCAGTACCTTGTTGAATTTATGACATGAAGGATTAAGGCAGTTCTGAAGGCAAAAGGGGGTCCAACGCAGTACTTGTAAGGTGTACCTAACGAGGTGGCTGGTGAGTGTAGTTTAGATGCAATAAAGAGATACAAAATCCTGTGTAAAACAGGAATTAAAGCTTTCTTTTATATTGTTAATGAAACTTTTATTATATTATAATAGTTTTTGCATCATATGCATGTAAAGGTTTTGACATCAAATTGTTGATCATTTTTGTTGTGTTTCTTTTTTTTTATGTCGTTTTTAAATCAAAGTGACTGCTGGAAGGTAGATAGCCTAGTATTATTGTTATAAAGTAATTGTTTCATAGTGTCTCTATATAAGTGTTTAGGTTTTGTGCATGAATACAAATTTATGATTTATTGCAGATAGGAAATGTACAGTATGTTTTACAAGTAAATACTTAAGTGGTTATATACAGGATACAGTTTGTGCACTGTTATGATTATGTTTCCATTCTTAAGAAAAACTTTCCGTTCATTGCCACCTCTCCTGCTTTTTCTAGGGTGATGATGGTCTGCCAGTACCAGGGTGTTGGAATAAAGTGAGTTCCGTTTATTAACACTTTGTTTGTTTTTTTAAATAATTGCATAACTTCATGATATGAAGGTATAGATTTAAGTTTTATGTCATCTACAAACATCTAAAAAATCTATTTGCTGAAATATATATACAGTTACGTCTATAAATATTTGGATATCGACACAATTTTAACATTTTTGGCTCTGTACACCAACACAATCGAACTGAAATGAAACGAACAAGATGTGCTTTAGCTGCAGACTGTCAGCTTTTATTTGAGGGTATTTACATCCAAATCAGGTGACCGGTGTAGGAATTACAACAGTTTGAATGTGTGCCTCCCACTTGTTAAGGGACCAGAAATAATTGGACAATTGGCTTTTAAGCTGTTCCACGACCAGGTGTTTAATTCCCTTATTATCCCAATTACAGTGAGCAGATAAAAGGTCCAGAGTTCATTTCAAGTGTGCTATCTGCATTTGGAATTTGTTACTTTAAACTCTCAAGATGAAATCCATAGAGCTGTCACTATCAGTCAAGCAAGCCATCATTAGGTTGAAAAAACAAAACAAACCAAACAGAAAGATAGCAAAACATCAGGTGTGGCCAAATCAACTGTTTGGAACATTCTTGAAAAGAAAGAATGCACCAGTGAGCAATAAGCAACACCAAAAGACCCAGAAGACCACAGAAACAACTGTGGTAGACGACCAAAGAATTCTTTCCCTGGTGAAGAAAACACCCTTCACAACAGTTGGCCAGATCAAGAACACTATCCAGGAGGTAGGTGTATGTGTGTCAAAATCAACAATCAAGAGAAGACCACACCAGAGTGAATACAGAGAGTTCACCATAAGATATAAACTACTGATGAGCCTCAATAATAACCTTTATTTAACCAGGTAAGTCAATTGAGAACCAGTTCTCATTTACAATGACGACCTGGCCAAGAGGCAACATGAAAAGCAGATGCAGTACAAAGCATCAGAAAGGCCGGATTAAAGTTCTAAAAAAGCCTTCACAGTGCTGGAACAACATCCTATGGACAGATGAGATCAAGATCCACTTGTACCAGAGTGATGGAAAGAGAAGAGTATGGAGAAGGAAAGGAACTGCTCATGATCCTAAGCAGTGAAACATGGTGGTAATAGTGTCAACCCAAGCTTATTCTGGAAACGTAGCTCCGTGGACATTTCTGGAGACTGCGATTTACGTGGCCGGAGGTACGTAAAGGCCGCGTTTGTTTTTTTTCGAGCGAACGCTGCGGGGCGGTGTAGCGCCGCTCCGCCCCTCCTCTTCGCGCTCGCCGGCCGACGGCTCGCCTCCGAGTGGAGGGCTTTCCCAATGCAATCAGTTTGTCCGCTTAGCTCACAGCGTTGCGTCGGCGGAGCGGAGGCCCCGGAGGAGGAGGAGGAGCTGGCCGCGGTGGACGAAGACCGGGATCGAGTCCGGGGAACAGCAGGTTCCAGAAATCAGGTAAGACGAAAAACGGAATCCGAAAAATAAGGGCGAGAACGCGGCGGGATCCGAAAACGCAGTTGAGATCGAAGACGAGGGCTTTTGCTTTTTTTTTTTTTTCGATCCGGCGGCTTTTTTGTGCGAGAACAGCGCGGGCGCAAACGCCACGCGCTCCCGAGAGGCGCCGAGACGCGAAAAAGTGCGCACAGTGGCCTCTCGCGGATCCGCGAAAACAAAAAAACGCTCGAATACGTACCTCCCGGGACGTAAATCGCGGTCCGCAGAAACGTCCGCGGGGCTACGTTTCCACAATGAGCCCGGGTTGAATAGTGTCATGGCGTGTGCATGTATGGCTGTCAATGGAACTGGTTCTCTTGTATTCATTGATGATGTGACTGCAGACAAAAGCAGGAGGATGAATTCTGAAGTGTTTCAGGCAATATTATCTGCTCATATTGAGCCAAATGCTTCAGAACTCTTTGGACGGTGCTTCACAGTGCAGATGAAGAATGACCCAAAGCATACTGCAAAAGCAACCAAAGAGTTTTTGAAGAGAAAGAAGTGGAATGTTATGCAATGGCCAAGTCAATTGCCTGATCTGAATCTGATTGAGCATGCATTTCACTTGCTGAAGACAAAACTGAAAGGAAAATCAAGCAGGAACTGAAGGCAGTTGCTGTACAGGCCTGGCAGAGCACCACTAGGGATGAAACCCAGTGTCTGGTGATGTCCATGCGTCAGGCTGTAACTGACTGCAATGAAAGTTTGATTTATGATTATTATTATGTCCAATTATTTTTGAAACCCTTAACAAGTGGGAGGCACATATTCAAACTGTTGTTATTCCTACAGTGTTCACTTGATTTGTATACTCTTAAATTAAAGCTGACAGTCTGCAGTTAAAGCACATCTTGATCGTTTCATTTCAGATCCATTTTGTTGGTGTATAGAGCCAAAAATGTTAGAATTGTGTCTATGTCCAAATATTTATGGACCTAACTGTATACATGAAGACTTGTTGTTAAGAATATGACTAGGATTTATTGGTGATTCAACATTGGTGATAGAAAGCCAATTCTATACCTCCGTTTGCTCGTGTGCTTGAAATTAACATGGTGTTTTTGCCTCTTGTTTTGCAGTGACGTTAATTCCTGAATGCCATGTGTGATTGTAAATAGAATATTTATTTTTGTACTTTTTTTTTCGGCATTGATCTGTTATATTGATGGAAAATACAGCAAACCATAAAATACTGGCAGGACTTTTTTTGTACAGATGTTTATTTTTATTACCAGTAATGTTGATTATGTATTGGACTTTATACTGTACCTATGCATTATGTCCAAATGTTTTGATCGAGGAAGAAATATACTGTGGCAGCATATGCATGATATTTGTGCATTATGTTAACTGATAAGTGCCTATTAACTTATTGTATCTTGGTGTTTTAATGTGTCGTGTCGGACCACGCTGCACTGATTAGTGGGGCTGGAGTTATGAATTGGCCTTGTTTGCTCTGAGATTAACATGTTCACATCACAGCTGATGAACTTACACTGTAACTGCATATGTTTACTGAAAAATGACTTATTTCAAAGTCTGTAGGTTACTACGTGCAGTGTAATTATCAAGTGAGCTGTTTCAGTGCATCATTTCTAAAGGTTGCATTGAATAACTTATTTAGTGAGCATTTCAGCTTGTTTTCTCCATAATCACCAGTTGATATTATTGCAAAAACTGCAATTATGGCTTTATGTACTGAAGGAATGACCGATATTCAAACATGCAGTGCTTTGCTTTTATGGGCCTTGTGTAAATATGTTTAAAAACATGCCCCTGTTAAGCAGCTATTTTCTATTTCTTTATTTTTATTTCTGACAGTTCAATAGTAGAGGTAAATACAATTTACATACATGGGTAATGAATTTAGTGCTTCTTTTAACTTCTCATATATTGCTGCTCACTTTCAAACAAACATTTGTGTTTGCTAATAAGCATCTACACTACCATTTAAAAGTTTTGGGGTCAGTTTTTGTCTCGTTTGTTTTACAGTGCGTCCGGAAAGTATTCATAGTGCTTCACTTTTTCTCCATTTCTTCTATGGTACAGCCTTATTCCAAAATGGATTAAATTCATTTATTTCCTCAAAATTCTACACACAATACTCCATAATGGCAATGTAAAAAATATATATTTTTAATTGTTGCAAATTTATAAAAATAAAAATCCTGAAAAATCACATGTACATCAGTATTCACAGCCTTTGTCGTGAAGCTCTAAATTGAGCTCAGGTACATTGTGTTTCCACTGATCACTCTTGAGATCGTTCAGCAGCTTAACTGGAGTTCACCTGTGGTAAATTCAGTCGATTGGACTTGATTTGAAAAGGCATACACCTGTCAATATAAGGTCCTAGGGTTGACAGTGCATGTCAAAGCACAAACCAAGCATGGAGACAAAGGAATTGTCTGTAGACCTCAAGAGACAGGATTGTCTCGAGGTACAAGGCTTGTGAAGGTTAAAGAAAATTTTCTGCTGCTCTGAAAGTTCCAATGAGTACAGCGGCCTCCAATATCTGTAAGTGGAAGATGTTTGGAACCACCAGGACTTTTCCTAGAGCTGGCCGGCCATCTAAGCTGAGTGATCAGGGGAGAAGGGCCTCAATCAGGGAGGTGATCAATAACCTGATGGTCACTCCGTCTGAGCTCGAGCGTTCTTCTGTGGAGAGAGGAAAACCTTACAGAAGGACAACCATCTGTGCTGCAATCCACAAATCAGGCCTGTAAGGTAGAGTGGCCAGAGGGAAGCCAATCCCCTCCTGGAATTTGCCAAAAGGCATCTGAAGGACTCTCAGACCATAAGAAACAAAATTCTCTGGTCTGATGAGACTGGAATTTAACTTTTTGGAGTGAATGCCAGGCAATACTTTTAAAGAAAACCAGGCAGCGCTCATCACCAGGCTAATACCATCCCTACAGTAAAGCATGGTGGTGGCAGCATCATGCTGTGGGGATGTTTTTCAGCAGCAGGAACTGGAAGACTAGTCAGGATAGAGGGAAAGATGAATGCAGCAATGTACAGAGACATCCTGAATGAAAACCTGCTTCAGAGTGCTCTTGACCTCAGACTGGGGCGACGGTTCATCTTCCAGCAGGACGATGACCCATAGCACACTCGATGGAGTGGCTTCACAACAACTCAGTGAATGTCCTTGAGTGGCCCAGCCAGAGCCCAGACCTAAATCCTATTGAACATCTCTGGAGAGATCTGAAAATGGCCGTCGCTTCCCATCCAACCTGATGGAGCTTGGGAGGTACTGCAAAGAGGAATGGAAAAAAATTCCCAAAGACAGGTGTGCCAAGCTTGCGGCATCATATTCTAAAAGACTTGAGGCTGTAATTGCTGCCAAAAGTGCATCAACAGAGTATTGAGCAAAGGCTGTGAATACTTCTGTACATCTGATTTTTCAGGTTTTTTATTTTTTTATAAATTTGCAACAATTTCAAAGAACTCTTTTTTCACATTGTCATTATGGGGTATTGTGTGTAGAACTTTGAGGAAATC